CCGAATTTCAGACCGATATCACTAACAGCATGCATCGGCAAGACCGCCGAAAGGATGGTCCTTACACGACTCCTCCGGAAAATTGGACCACTTCACCACAATATCTTTGGATTCACCAAAGGTCTCAGCACTGCACACAGTTTGGCCACTCTCCTGGGATCGATTAGTCAAAATAAGGCAATCGTAGTATTCCTTGATCTAGAGAAAGCATTTGAGCTGGCAAATGCACAGGCCATTGTAACCACTCTGGCCCGGAAAGGCGTCAAAGGATACCTACTGGCTTGGATTGCTGACTATCTCCAAAACAGAACAGCAAGAGTTACTTGTCAAGGACAAGTCTCAGGTCAGCAAAGACTGGAAAATGGCACACCACAAGGAGGAGTTCTTAGTCCAACTCTCTTCAACATCCTGATGGAAAACTTGTGTCGGCTCCCCTTTCAAGAGGGTACCAAACTGCTGTGCTATGCTGACGACTTAGCACTGATAGTAAAAGGCAGAAACCAAATCAGCAAAGTCCAAAGAGCACTAGACCTCATCAGTGAAGAATGTATCAGGCTCGGGCTCAAGATATCAATCCCCAAATCGAAAGCCATGAGGTTTGGACACAATGAGCCGGTGACACAACTTCAAATACAAGGTATTGCCCTACAATGGGTCAATGTATACAAATACCTGGGCATCTGGATTGACAAACGCCTCAAATTTGACACCAAGATAAACTATCTAAAAGACCGAATAGGCAAGAGAGTCAACATGACGAGAGCCATGACAGGACCCAAGGTGGGTGCGGGACATGTAGTCCTAAGAACGCTATATATACACGCCATTCGATCATTAACAGACTATGCGACACCGGCTCTTAACACACTGTTTGAGGGGCAGTGGGCGAAATTAGAAGTTGCCCACAATAACGCTATGAGAGCCATTGTCAAGGCACCTATGTGGACAAAAATTGAAAACTTACACATGGAGACAGGTCTCACATCTCTCCAAACCAGAGCGGAACGATTAACAGCGTGCTTTGCAACAAAACTGATTACCAGGGTTCGGGAGGGTGACATCAAGAATGGACTCTTACGAGCACTGAACCTTAACAGAGCTGTCTTTAACAAGAAAACATGGCTATTGTGCGCAGCTGACGCTGTAAATCGACTGAAATTGAAAGACACAATCCTCAGCAAAGGACCTGATACAATGAGTCCAGACTATAGCACCCCAGCACCGTGGGAGTCCCCGCCAGCAATCTTCAACATTTTACAAACTGGGACAAGAAAGGCTGACTGTAACCCACATGAGCTCCGACAGAGAGCAGAGAGAAACATGAAGGCTCTAACACCTCACAATAGTACAGTGTATTACACAGACGGTACTGTAGAGACCACCAGTACGAAGGCAGGAGCAGCCTTCACTATAGAAGGAGGTATGACGTCCCTTTGGAGAACTTCAGATGGATGCTCTACTTTGCAAGTTGAGCTAGCTGCCATACTTGGAGCCCTAAGACACGCTTCCATAAACAGTCAACAAGACATTGTAATACACACTGACTCACGATGTGCTATTGAAGCACTACAATGCAGAGAGCATAGAGACAACATTCATCTCATAACATCCGTTGTTGGACTACTGCAAGGTTTAAAACTACAAGATCGGCAAGTTATCATTAACTGGGTGCCCAGTCATATCGGAATCCCAGGGAATGAACGAGCTGATGCTGCTGCCAAGGCTGCGTTAGAACATCGAAACATTGAGATGAACATCCCGCCCAGTCAGGAGCAGATAAAGAAGACCACAATAACACGAACTGCCCAGTGGAAAATAGAGAAACATAGAAGATTAACACCAGCATCACGATCGGCCAGGTGGTACTATCTGGTCACGAATTATGAGAGATCACCATTCATGAAGGATATAACAAGAAGGGAAGAAGTCAACTTCCACCGACTGAGACTGGGATACCCATGCATTTGGGAAATAAATGTATCGGCACAAGCAGAGCAGCGCATGTGCAAGACCTGCGACAGCGGAGCAGAAAGCACACTGCAGCACTACCTCATAGATTGCCCTGGAACACGATTAGTTAGGAGAAACATACAACCACCTATCACAACAGAGAAGGTTGCCAGAAAGCTAACCACCAACCACTCTCAAGAAACCCTACAGTTTCTTACCGAGCATCCCCCCCCCCCACATTAGTGGTGGAGATGTGCATTTAACCAAAAAGACGCTGGTGTTTTATCCCAGCAGTGGGTGGACCAGCATTTTAGCTTAAGGTCCGCGTAGGTAATATTCCTACAAATCAATTAAAAAAGTTACCACTCTCTTTCTACCCACGGCCACCAGCAAGCAACACCTCCTCAGCTCCAGCCTGGCGGCTCCCGCTCCCGCCGGCGACCTTGACGTCCCTCAAGCTGCGTGCCCTCCTCTGGGCACCCTCACCAACCAGCTCTCTCTACTCAACGCTTGTAACCATGCTGCCTACCCAGCAACAAGGTGCATTGTACATCCAATACAATATGTATACAGTGAACACATTGTGAGTTTCCTTTCTCCATCCCATCCTGAGTGTGAACCAATATCTCATAACCCCACAGTGAAACCAGTGGGGTTCCCCAGGGGTCAGTACTGGGCCCACTCTTGTTCATAATCTACATAAACGATCTAGATACTGGGATCAGCAGTGACATAAGCAAGTTTGCGGATGCCACCAAAATAGGGCGGCAGATTAATTCAGGGCAGGATGCAAATGCACTACAGAAGGATTTAAATAAACTGCAGTGGTCAGAAAAATGGCAAATGAAATTCAACACCAGCAAATGCAGCGTACTGAATATTGGAAGAACAAATACTGTCAATGTATACAGCCTTAACAACATCAACCTATAGAAGTTGACTTGTGAAAGAGACTTAGGGGTACTTGTAAGCCCGGACCTACGGCCTAGAAAACAGTGCGTTAATGTTCGAAATAAGGCAAACAGAGTATTGGGGTTTATATCTAGAAGCGTAAGTAATAAGAGTGCAGAGGACTTATTGCAACTATATCTTGCGCTAGTCAGGCCGCACCTCGATTATGCGGTTCAGTTCTGGTGCCCTTATTATAGAATGGATATCAATTCACTGGAGTCGGTGCAGCGAAGAATGACGAAAATGATTCCGGACTTAGAAACCTTCCATATCAAGATAGGTTAAAGAAACTAAACTTGCATTCCCTAGAAAGACGAAGAGTGCGAGGAGATATGATAGAAGTATTTAAGTGGGTGAAAGGAATCAATAAAGGCGATATAGATAAGGTTCTTATAATATCCGAGCAGGATAAGACTCGTAGCAACGGATTTAAGTTGGATAAGTTTAGGTTTAGGAGGGAGATAGGAAGGAACTGGTTCACAAATAGGGTGGTGCACAAGTGGAACAAGCTTAGCAAATTTGTAAAAAGTTCTGAAACGCTGGAAAGTTTTAAAAGGAGGCGAAATAGATTCATGGATGATAGAGAGTGGTAGGAACTCTCGACAGGAGCTGCCATGCACAGGCCAACCGGCCTATTGCAGACTCCTTATTTTCTTATGTTCTTTATCTACATCTTCACCATATTTTGTTTTATTTCTTTTTACTTTTATCCTCTTTAACACTGATCGGCTCGTCAGCCGCTTGGGCGATCGGTCACGTCTCTGATTACTTTTCCTTTACTTTAACTGTTAATGATATTTAAGTAAAATGTGATCTTTTTGCTGTAACTTTTTCCTAGCCAAAATTGTCAAATTTTTCTGACTTTTTTCCTCCGACTATTTCCGTTCAACACGCCAGTATTCTGGAGAAATTTCCTATTATTATTAAAACAGAAGGTCAAGTTTCATAATCTTCCTCAAGCTGAGGCCGATGCTTCTTTTAAACATTAATGTAAACACACCTCATAGCAGACATGGGGGCCGAAGCCATGGTAAGTTAAACTAGTAACTACATTTACTTTTACTTGACTTTTATCCTTTTCACCACGAATCGGCTCGTTAGCCGCTTGGGCGATCGGCCACGTCTCTGTTATGCACTGTTGGCAAGTACTGGGCATGCACCGGCTCCTGAATGTACCTGAACCTGCTCGTGTTGGTAAAGTCTGGTCTTGAAAGAGCTCACTTTTGGTGCAGTCACAGCACTTTCTGGTAGATTGCTCCAAGAGTTCACAACTGTCACTCAGTTTGCCCTCACAGTTTTCTGGACTTGCGGCTTCTTCAATCTTGAGCTGTGACCCCTTTGAGATGCTTATACACCTCAATTAGATCGCCCCTTGCCCGTCTGTAGTAAAGCTAGGAAAGTTCAGGCGCTTCAATCTCTCAGGGTAGTTGAGGTGCCGAAGTGCAGGCACCAGTCTGGTGGCCCTTCTTCGAACATTTTCAACCAACTGACAGTCCCTAGCATATCTCGGGGACCAGACAAGGTGACAGTATACCAGATGCGGAAGCGCTTCACTCTTGAAGATCGTTACGAGCGACGGTCTAGATGTCTGAACGAACTTCTTATAAGACCCAATAATTTATTTGCCTGATTTACCTTTTTCGCGCAATGGCCCGAGAATTTCAGCTCATTGTCAACATACACACCTACGTCCTTCTCACATTCAATCTCAAATAGTGTAGTTTCTTCACTCCGTTGGGACATAAGATACGCCTCCTTACCGTTGGTACGCCCCAGGTGCACCCTCTTACACTTCGTGACATTGAATCTGAGCAGCCATTTCTTCGACCATTCTTGGAGCTCACAGAGATCATTCTGCAGCTCTTCACAGTCCGCTTGGTTCTTGATTTCCGAAATAACTTGGTTAACTCCATTATCTTAATGACATATATTAAATTTCACCAGTCTTAGGAAAGCGATGGAATTTTAAATGTCTGTGGCTTTTTTTGTCCTTCTTGCAAACAACACAACCATGACAACCAAGTGGAGCCATTTCTTGAACCTTTTATTGTCACACTGAACGAATCTTGAATGTCCAGCCAGATGACGTCATATACCAAAACACAGTCTGTTGCAGACGACACTTACGGGACAGTCGTGCTATCTATCGTTGACCGACTCAACTATAAGTGCCCAGTTAGTGATTTGATGCTATTTTTTGGCGGCACGCATCTGTAGGAGAAGTCAAGCTTCCTTACTGTACCTTCCTTGTTCCAAGTGTTACTTCAACTAGAGTGAAAAATTGCAACAGCTAGAAACGCCGAAGTAAGATCCCGTTTCAAAGAAGAAATCCTGAATAATATGGTATAATTCATCTCCTTATTAGTGAATAAACCAATAATGTTACGGAAAATAGCGGCAAGAACCATCCAGGTGGTAGGAGCAGACGCCAGGAGGCTTAAAACGCTTGAAGTGAAGGTAAATTACTCTCACCGGGATATGTGGGTGAATATTCCAACTTTAACCTCGGGGAGGCATCTTCATCTTGACGTAATGAAGCTTAAATCTCAAGATCGTAAGGAAATGCTAGCTTCAATGCCCCAGAAGGACGAAGGAACGGAAGGTGAAGTTTTATACCATCATTTAAAGCAGTAAGTATAAAATAAGTTTGCTAAAGGCAGAAGATAATTGGCCGTGTCCGGTTAAGTTCCCACTAACGCTATTTTACCATGAGTGCGCTCTGACTGGCTAATCGTCCTTTACCGGCGAAGAACGCAAGAACTATAGGCGTTTTAAGAAGCACGGAATAGCTAACGGGTTAGCTTTCCCGGATTGTCATTAAAAAATACGACATTGTACTGCGTCTTGGGAATAACTGTTGAACGAATTGGATATTCATATTCTCCGGAAATCCCTAGTTTTACCCCCCCCCCCCTCAATAATAGAGGGAGAGCCTGGGAAATCGTGGTTTTTAAGTGGGGGAGAAAACAAATCATCTAACCAAACCTAACCCCTAGCCAGGGTCTCTGCCCCCGGATCCTCAGTAGGCCTAGCTTAAACTAACCTAAATGTCTCGGTACTTAAATACTTTGGGGCATTCCATGTCTTGAAGTAAAATAATACCAAATAAAATACCAACCGACCAGCAAAACCAAAACAAACCTAACCTAATCCCCCTTTATTCATGCCCCCACATATTACCTTAATCTGAAGAAGTATCAGGTTCATCAGGGTCGTTACTGTTTGAATCTATTTGATGTGGTGCCCATGGTAGTCGGTCATTTTGAGGAGGGTATAGGCGGGCTGCTTAAATGCAGAACCTGTGTAACAAGTTGTTTTTATTGTTTGTAATAAAAAGATAACGTGCTAGATATTGTTCTAAATACTGAGCACGAATTCAAGGCTGTTTAATATAACTTCAAATCTAGCCACACTCTTTCAATGTTCTGTGTATGAATATCATAATTTTCAGGATCCACAAAATATTCAGAATGGTTATTCATAAAATGATTGTAGCCATGGTCTTTAAGAGTATGATTTGCTCGCCAAGAATCACTATAAATCACTGAACCTCTTCGAATATATTTAAAAGTCAGGGGAAACAACGTATCCAAGTCGCTTTTTTGACTGACTAGGGGCACAACGAACTATTCTCTTATGTTGCATTGAACACCATCAAAAAGCCATATCTGGCTTAAAATTATACCAGTGTCATATTTTCTTTTACAAATAAGTCTTGTCAATTTCCACAGCAATCCCTGGCCCCCTAATTTGATTTTGATTTCCAACCTAAAGCTCAAAAATTGTGTTGTGATCCCAGTGTTTGCTAAGCCAATGAATAATAAAAAGGATCAATTTCCAGGGATCAAAATTACTCTGTTCTAGAAATGATCCTTTGTAGTCACTAACTGAAAAGTTGCTCCTCTTCCGTTTCTTTTCTGCTGAAGGAAACTGTGGTGATCCTTCGGGCTGTTGTATGCTGCCCACTTGTTGCTCATAACAGTTGACCATGGTCATATACAGTATAATTGCTAATTAGAGGAATCAGCATGGCATCGTCGCATTTGCAGCCAAAAGGTTCTATGAGAGGGATGATGAAAAACCTCTTGGAGATTCTCTCAATGCCGCCGAATACCCAAATTACAACTTGTCTTTTTCCATGACGACACCAGGGCCTCCTACTGGCTCTTGATGGTCAAACCAGTATTCCATCACTTCTGAGCAGAAGCTGCACCAGTCGACACTTGTATTGGCAGACAGGTGCAGGTGCTTGATAAAGGTATGATGGTCCTATACCTTCTGGAGCCTATGATTGATGAATGAAATAAGTTTCCATGGCTCCAGATTGTTATATATATGTATGTTTATATGCTGCCTTTATTGAATGTATATATTATATATTATGTTACTTCTTACGAATGTGTTAGGCACGTCGTAACCAAGAACAGAGAATAAACAGCCAGCCAGACAGACCATGTGACTCTTCATTCTCCCATTAAATAACCCAAGATACTACACAGATGTGCACCGCAGATAAATATTCCTGGATAATTATACTTCCTCTTATACTTCCGAATAGCAATTTTCCTTCTACAGTACCAAAGGTGTTTGTCAGCTTTATAGCTGGATGGCTGGTTACACTTTGCGCAAGTAACCTCACTTGGCAAAACACTGTGTTCGTGGAGAAATTTCATACTTCTTTGTCCTTACCATAATATTCTTCATGAAATTTGGCAATGGCTTGGAAATAATTAATATCAGTCATTGCATAATGAAGACATCTTGAAACTAAATTCAAATTCAAGTGGGTAGCGGTGGGGACCTATAACAAATTGTGATTGATTGGTTCAAAATCATACCCACCAATCAACAACCAAAGAACAACTGCGCATGTAACAGATTCTCACAAAGAACAACTGTGCATGTGTCAGACTCTAGCGCATGTGGAATGCAGCATAGTAACCAACAAACAAACACACAGGAGCTGTCTCAGACAATAATAACATCAAAAAGATCTTATTAAAAATACCACGATTTTCCAACAATTTATTGCGGTTATCTCTTAAAGTAATCATAGACGGAAGAAATGCCATGGAAGAAACGCGTCTTAGAATTGTCTAAACTACTGATTCCAAAACTTAAAATCCTAGAAAATCGTTGGATGACCAAACCGATAACAATACCTGCAAAATTATCAAGCATCTGCGAGGTGAAATACTGTATGTGAGAAAGTAAGTTTTAAATATTAACCTTAAGTACTGTATATAAAAGCTTTATCAATATGTAGTGGATATAGGTATGACAGCTGTATGCCAAATATCACACTGCTTATAGTTATGGCAGCAGTATTGATGGATTGTGTTGTTAATGATTAGGTTAGGTTAAGTGAGAAAGAAGGCCATCTGAGTAACCATCATTAGGTTGCCGTATCAATAGACATTGACATTTCACATATGGCTGTCATACCTATATCTTGTGCCTTATCAATAGCATACTGGATGCAGGAATGGTAACCATATTAACAGACTGTGGTTAATGGTATGGCAGAGAATTGCGCATGTGCAGAATTGGGTATATGGTGCTTCCTTCCACATGGGCAGGGACGTTAGGTTAGGTTGGTCAGAAAGAAGCCCATCTTAGTAACTATCATTAGGTAATTGGTAATTATTATTGACTTCATAGCCTTGATTTTTCATAGAAAACAAATTTTAAAATGCTGCAATTTCACTGTTTTATAGTGGATGCTGTTGTAGTTATGACAAATGTGTTATAAAGTGCTTATTTAAAGGTTCAAGTTAAGTTAACCTAACTGTAAACGCCTTGGTTAAGGACGTTCAGGTGATGGGCAAGTCGAAGGGAATGATTCAAAAACACCTTTTGACGAATTCAGTATTTATTGATGTGGTCAAAACATACAGAGGAGAAGGGGTTCATAATATTACATGGTGACGGGTAGAAATTCACCATTTTTTCAAAGTCGCCAGCAGGACTAGTAGATTTGAAAAATTACTAGTCCTTATAAATTTTTACTAGCCCTTAAACAATTTGTCAATAAACATTAAACATTGGCACTTACCGGGTTTATACAAAGTTCTATTTACTATGTGACATTTATTTACTAGTAGAAACTATGTTAAATCATAAACCAACGCCGGAATTATCACATATTAACTACATTAACTGCATGAAGCACAGATTTTTCATTGCATTTGAACAAGCATTTCCTGTACATGCTCCTCGTTCAACTCATTGTTGTCGTCCAGATCTTCCACTGTGCTGCAGCCAGCAGTGTGTGCGTAGCCATCCACACGGCGGGCCCCAGTTGCTGGCAAACTGGCAATGGCTTTGTCCGGATTTAAATTGCCAACACTCTGTTTGCAACTGAACCACCATGAGGTTCGTCAGGTGGTTATCAGTGAGACGACTGCGCCAGTCCGTCTTAATGAGTTTGACCTAGCAAAAACCTCGTTCAGCATCAGCCGAACTAGCTGAAATGGAAAGCAGTAGGTCAACCAGATGGAGAAATGAGGCACACCTTTCTCCGTGTGATTGGTTGATTTGTTGCCAAGACAGTCTTGAAACAAGTGATGTCTTACTCTTGTAAATTTAACTTTGAGCACAGTCCATTCATCCTCTACCAAAGTAGGATTCACCTCTGCCTCCATCAGTGTTTTCTCAATAGCCTTGGCTAATGCTTGCATAGCGTTATCCCCGAAATCTTCATTCCCACTGTGCTCTGCAGGCCACAATTTGAAATTCAGAATCCATGTGTTCTGGAGAATCGTACTGGCCATGTCAATAAATCTTATGTTTAGACTTGAAATCAGTGATGTCAGCATATCACACCTTGCAGTCTTGAAAGTGTTGCTTCTACCACTCAGCTTCTCTCCTTGGAACATGGTCGTGTCACCTTCCATAATCCTTCTCGGGCTGGGTCCTGGCCAAGTCAAATATTTAAGTACATCAACTGCAGGCTGAATTTCATTCACGATAGCAGAAATATTGGTTTGACCATGCTGGAACAGCTCTAAGAGGCACCGGACCATATCAAGTAGGAGGTGGAGGTACTGGACTATGTCAGCACAAGTTAGAAGGAGCAGGTAGTTCTTAGCTTTTCTGTATGAATCCTTGTGGTTTGCGGGATCATCAGGGTTCTGTATCTGCTGCATGTGGAGTACAATAGCCTTGTAACTCTTCAGTAGATGCTCCAATGCCTGCAGCATATGCGGGAGCCACCGTGTACCACCCACACGTGCTGGTACCTGACATATCTTATGAACACACTTCAACATGCTCCTGTTGAGAGAACTCTTTTCGTAGAACAGGTATATGCCTAGCAGCAGTAAGTCAACCTTTTTGGCTAGTGGAACATTTTTTTTCTGCATCCTTGTAAGTGAGTTCAATTTTATGTGCAGTGCAATGGATGCCTTCCAACTCTGGTTTCTCTAGATCTCTTCTCAGTCGAACTACTAAACCATTTCTGCACCCAATCATAATGCTGGCCCCATCTGTACCAATGCCAACTCGCTTCTGCTTCCAAGTTTCGCTCATTGTAGAGCAAACACATTTCTTGATAGATGCAGCATCACCTCTCTCAATATTTTTTACAGTAACAAAGTTTACCTGTATATTTCCTTTATAGGCCGAGCGAGTTTAGAGGATCTCCACTTCAGTAACAGATCTATCAGTAATTCCATCGTAGATTAAAGACAAAAACTTGACACAGTTGTACTCTTGTTTAATTTGAAGCCGTTGCTCATCAGCAATGGCATGAATAAACAATGGGGCACTCTTCTCATTTATGTATGTATTACCTACATCAAGGCCCTTGGATTTGTCTAGTTCACAGAGTGCCAAATGATCAGTATATGTATATATTTTATTTTCATTTTCATATAAAGTGTTATATACAGAAAATGGGTATCCCTTCTGCTTGCAATACCGGTGATACAATTAAGATAACTAACATTAATAGTGTATTCTCTATATGAAGCTCTTATACACATTGAGTGTGTCTTACCACTGTCATTGGCCCACTCGCCCATCGGGTGATCTCAGACCAGCCAAAGAGTAAAATCTTGTCGCCCTTATGTTATTTTTTTTTCTCGAGCGACCGGGCGTATGTGAATTTCTACCCCTGGGTGATCCATCTGACACATAATTAGTTAGTCTCACACAATTTTAACTTAATTACAATTTATTAAACAGCAACATAACACAAAGTTCATAACTCTATTAATCTTAGCTACGCTTCATTCCACTTTGTCTTATTACTCCAGATAAGGCAGAAACGAGTAGGAATAATTTGTCAACAATATTTAAGTACTGAGGGGTATGTCATCACTTAGTCTGTACTTACAAGTGCAGGTCAATGCAGATCAGTATGGTGTTCCAAGAGACAACGGTACTGCATAAATTGTCCCAGCACAAATTCTCGGACAGGATTGTGAGTCGGTGTTCACCAGTGTGAGCAGAGGGCTGGTCTTCACAGCATCACTAGAGAAGGCGACCTCCCTCATGGTGGGGCGGGCAGCACCGCCACCCGCCGAAGACAGTCCACTCGGCAGAACCAGGACTTGTCTGAAAACACTTATACACCTGGCGAGGTCACAGGTTGAAAGATTTAATGCCAGCTCTATAGTTGAAGCCAGTGGCGATAACACTCCCGGCGTTGGGCAATCGCCCAAGATTTACGGTGTGGCGTGTTCAATAAGGCATACATGGGTCACTGGCCTACTGAACTCCCCAGATACGGTTCGCACACACACCTGGCGCACTAGAGCATTGGTTCCCGGGACTGCTGCCGTGACCCTGCCCAATGGCCATGTGTTGCGAGGAAGATCTTCTCCGGTGACGAGGACAAGGTCTCCTTTCTGGAGATTACGGGTTGGTTCTATGTACCTCTGTCTTTTGCAGAGTAGTGGAAGGTACTTCCTCACCCAGCGTTTCCAGAAGCGGTCTGCTAGGAACTGCACATGCCACCACCGTTGTTGATATGAGTCCTTCAGAAGACATCCTCCCACCTCAAGACAGCATGCGGGTATGGAAGAACTCCTCAAAGCTAGCATCTCTGCTCCGGTTGGCATGTTTGCTCATTGTGGTCAGCCTGGCGGCGGTGCCTTTGATCAACCTGATACGTCTTTACCCTGCTGGGGCTATACTGAGCGCCGTGGCATACACAACTGTCCTATTCGCAGCATTTTTGGCAGAACATGATGCCATTCAGGTGATTTAATGTTTGTTTCCTCTTGTATTTTATCCCAAAATGTAATGGCACTGCCCAGTAAGTGGTCTTGTTAATCTGTCCCAAGTAAGGGTGGCAGAAACCTTACTCGGTAGGCAACATATGATCTCGCAATTTTCAATTGCAAGTATAGCCTAATAATTGTAATACAGTATTCCTTTTAGCTTATGTGACCACCTTGTTGACCTTAATACGCGAATGTTCCCGATTCCAAGACAGCCGCTCAAACGGCAAGGAAACGGACCAGACATGGTCATCGTGCAAGCCTTAGGGGAATGTGCAACTCAAAACTTGGTTAGGAAACTACAAATAAATTTAGTGTAATTATTGACGAAAGTACCGACTGTTCAGTAAGTAAATCACGTGCAGTGGTAGTGAAATCACGTGCAGTGATAGTGAAGTATTTTAATCCGGAGTGATAATTACAAAATCGCGATGCTGGATTTGATTGACGTATTTGACGGTAATCAGGGTTTGACTGGTAAAAATATATAACATGCTGTTTCAGTGCCTCACTACACATGATATACCATTGAACAACTTCATTGGGTCTGCTCCAGATGGGGCATCAAACATTATGGGCAAATATAACAACGTAACTAGCAGAATGAAAGTTCAAATGCTTGGCATTACCATATTTAAACATGTTGCACATAGTATGCATTTCTGCGCCAGCGAAGCAGCAAAGACTTTGCCACGTACTCGTGCCACGTGTTGAGAAACGTGTATATTTACCATTCCCATAGTGCCAAAAGGAAATGTGAGTTTAGGAATTCCTGGGTTTTGTCAACTCAAACCACACAAATATTTCATGCCTGTGCCACGAGGTGGTTGTCACTTCATGAAGCTGTTGCAAGAATGCTCGAACAGTGGCAACCCCCTTAAACTGTATTTTCATAGCAGGGTAATTGAGGTGAGACTTGTGTTCTGCTACTTGAATTTTGAATTACATATTGTTGCAACTCAACACCATAAACTTGATTTTCCAAAGTAAAGCCCCAACTTTGCATTTAATCCATAAAAGCTTACGTCAACTGCAAAGGTTATTGCTAAACTCCTTTTGCCATTTACATAGTGTGTCAAACTCCAAATGCATGGTATCGATCCAACTGATGATTCCCTATATGTACCAGTCAATCAGATATATTTGGGATCGCAATTACATGCCACCTTCCAAAGGCTAGAGCATTATAAGATAAGCATGAACACTGATGAAGATGTGGTGCAGAGATTTCTAGTAGTAGTGTGTTGGGAAATAAAGAAAAGATTCAAACTAAACAATAAGTTGTGGAGGCTGGCGGTATATTTACACCCCAAAAGAGTCAGCAATTTTATAAACATGTTATTAGCATTTTAAATGAAGAGGCAGATGCAAAACATAAATGTTTTGGACATTTGCAATGGAAGTGTTGTCACTTCTAACGTCCAATGCTGATGCAGAGCGTCCTTTTCTGAGGTGAATTTAATTAAGGAAACAGAGAAATAGTCTTCGTATACAAACTGTAAATTCTCAATAACGTTGAGCGAATGTCGTAATTTAATATCATTGTGGATATAACGTATTATTACCATGGGTTGGCATTGTAGCGATTGTGGTGTTCCCATTATGTGATGGTGCTACAGTTGTTACCAGTCATTTTCTTTTTATAAGTATGAAGTCTTATGTTAAACGGTGATATTACATTTCCAAAGAGTTGTTGCTGTTGGGTAGTAGGTAGTCGGCAGCTACTGTATCAAACAGGGAGATACTGTACTACCGCCTGGGAAGATGTTGGAAGCATAATGTGTTGTCTAATGGTAGACCCTGCTGCCATATGGCATCACGAAATTGTGACCAAATCCCAGGTTGCTGATCTGACTTTCTGCCTCATTTACACACAATTGGAGGGTTTCAATTTTGTCTCTTATTTTGACAACACAACATTCATATATCTTTTTTCACTATTGATCCCTTTTCAATTTTGTATTTCTTTATGGTTCATTATTATTATTATTATTAGTGTTGTTATTATTATTATTTTATCTGTGTTCTGGCTAAATAAACTTTCAATTCAATGTTAATAAGAATTCAGCAAAATTCTCGGAGAGCTGAATTTCAAAACTGTACTGTATAAGTAAATATTTCTTGACTGCAAAACTATCTGAGGTAAGATATTTTAATTTTAGTACAGGTTGTACCTCTCTAGTCCGGCAACCTCGGGACCTGACCGGTGCCGGACCATGGAAATTGCCGGACCATGGAAATTCACCCTTTTCCTGGATAGATAGTGACTTGTGCTTATGCCTGGAAGCACTAGCACCAGTTTCTCTGCGTCATGGTCTCTTTGAAGACATATTGAAGGGCTAAATGTCGTATAGTAGCTTCTCAAATTCCGCGAGTTTTTAATTCTTAACGTATTTTATTGGAACACACAAAAAAATAAATAAATAAAAATTTTGACTGTGGAAACTTGAATTTCGACGGGTTTGAACGGCCCGCCAACGTGCATAATCATGTAAACAGCGTCATTTCTCTTATGTACAAAAGATTCATTATTGTTTATTACTGAATGTCTTTTTTATTGAATTAATGTTTATATGTGCAAAATGAGCAATAATTCATTAATAATACGTAGAAAATTAAAACACATGAGGAAATGACAGAGCAGTGTTTTCGTTGATTACAAAACCAATGACTGACTGGTTCTACATATAAAACTGAAGAAAATAAGACCTTGGTTGTAGCTGTAGTAAAATTAATATGGTTGTTTTAAGTAATGTTATTTAATGTTAATAAATGGAACAATAGAAGTAGCTAACGATAATGGTAAAGAAAAAGAGATCGCATATGTAAGTGCGCATGCGCACACGTGAAAACATATCGTCATTACTTTACATAAGAATATGAAAGCAACACTTATTTACTGTTCATATATATTTTAATTAATGTTTCTGAATTTGTTTTTATTGAATTAATGTACGTGTGTGCAAAATTAACAATACAATTTATTAATAATACGTGGAATATTAGAGGAGACGAGACGGCTGCCGGCATTGTTTATGTTAAAGCTTACGAAACCAGTGACTGATTGGTTCTACATATAAAACTGAAGAAAATAAGACCCTGAGTTTAGCTGTAATAAAATTAATGTAAAAAATGAATATGGTTGCTTGAAGTACCTGTAATGTTATTTAATGTTAATAAATGAAACAATATAAGTAGCTAACCATTAATGGTAAAAAAAAAGTGAGACTGCTCGTATGTAAGTGCGCACATGTGAAAATATATCGTCATTACTCTACATAAGAATATGAAAGCAACACTTATTTACTGCTCCTATATATTGAAGGGTTAAATGTTGTACTCTGTATAGACAAGCAGAGAGAGAGAGAGCAGCCGAACTGCCGGATGTAAACAAACCTTAATTTCCCGCGGCTTTGGTTTTTTTTTTAAGGGGATTAGCCCACCCGGGCATAGGTCACTGACCCACATTGGGGCCTGAGGGGCAAAAATTTAATACTCCTGTAATAATAATAATAATTCAGAGAAATAAAAAAAAGAAAAAAAAAAAAAAAAACTGCCTATCTACCTATTGGACAAACTAAAATCGTTCCGGACCACGGGAGTTTCCGGACCACAGAATGCCGGACTAGAGAGGTACAACCTGTATAGTGATCCCTCGGTTAACGAACGCCTCAGTTAACGAATTACCTTCCATAAGAATCTTCAACTCGATTAACGAACAAAAATTCGGTTAACGAAATCCTTAACGAAATCTTATCAACATGTTTTCACCTGCTCACCAGCTGGAGTATTAGTCCACCAATGTGGTAATCGGTTTTAGGGCTTAAATTCGTTACCATTTGAGTAAATATCAAGAAGGTTGTACTATTCAATAATTTTCCAAGTCTTATATTAAAATTTTTAGTCATTTTAACAATTAATTATTTAACATAATTGAAGTACAGGGAACTAGTTTTTAGCGCGCCAAACAGCCACTTGACTCACCCAGAATGTCGTCAGTTTGTGTCTGCTCGGTGGAGGAAGCACCTTGCTTGAGACACTCTTGAACATAAAACTATTTTTACGTTTTTACAGTACAATTATTGGCCATTCTGAAAATTATTTTACATATTGACAATATATAATGCAGTGCAGTATTGATTTAAAGAAAATAATCTTGAATTACACCTAGTGAACTTAAAATTTTATGGGTGAAATGGCGGCATGAAGCACGGGGTGACTTCTCTTCCTCCCCACTGCCTTCTCTTCTCCCTTCTCCTTCACCCCCACTTCTAATTCCCATCATCATCATCAACCAAAAGCCTTCTACATGCACACATTTATTTTTAGTTTGTATGTAATTTTCGGTGAGCTGGAACCAATTACCTAAAATCCCATTGAAACAATGGTTTCGGTTAACAAAATTTTTGGTTAACGAACGACCTTCTGGAACGAATTGTGTTCGTTAACCGAGGGACCACTGTAATGAACTGAGGTAGCAAGGGAGACAAAGTCAAACCCAAAGGGAAATTTTTTAAATGTATCAAACTAAAACCATAGACAAGATTGACCATTAGAGGCAGATACCTGCGAACTAACTGATATCGGCGGAGAAATGAGCAGTTAATCTGAACAGGTATTTTCATCAATTTTCACAATCGTAAATTTAAACATGAGTGAAGAAAATAGATTAAGCGAGATAGTAGTGACTAGCAACGATGTTCGTAAACAGATAGATACACTAAAATCTAAAGAGTCGCCAGGTCTCGATGAGATATTTGCCAGAGTATTAAAGGAATGTATAGTATGGAAGAACTTAGTATGCCTTTAGCAAACTTTTTAACATGTCAATAAAAACTGGTGTAGTAACAAAATCCTGGAGGATACCGAATGTGAAGCTGATTTCCAAGAAGGGAGATATATATCACTATCCTTAAACTACCATCCAATTAATTTAACATCAATTGTAAGCAAATTGCTGAAAGCAATAATTTCAAACTCCAATCCAAATCACCTCGAGAAACACAATGGATAACTGTCACTATTATGATGCGGATTACCTCGTGAAGCCTTCAACAGGGTCCCCCGTGAAAGACTAATATGTAAAGTGGAAGCACATGGAATTGGAGATGAACATAAATATAGGCATAGACAGCAACATAAGTAAATTTGCTAATGACACTAAAATGGGGCATGTAATTAAATCTGATGAGGACTCAACAAAACTACTCGAACGTCAAAAAAAATTTTTCTCATGGTCTGAAAAATGGCAAATGATTAATGTGGTCAAATGTAAAGTGCTTAACCTAGGAGATGTAAACAAAGAAACCAGATATCAGATGAACAACATTGATATAGAGAAAACCGACGGAGAAAGATGTAGGGGGAATGATAAGTTGGAATCTTAAACCAGGACAACAATGCGTATTTGCTTGAAACAAGGTTAACTAAGTACTAGGGTCGATACAAAGGAGTGTTAGTTATAAGACTAGTGAAGTTACCCTAAAACTATATCTTGTGCTTGTGAGAACTTGGCTTGGATTATGCAGCTCAGTTCTGGTCCCCGTACTACAGAAAGTATACACAGGAGGGTGACAATACTTTTCCCGGGCATTAGGAACCTTTAGAATAGAGACTGATTAAAGCATCTGAATTTACAATCCCTCAAGAGATGTAGAGTGAGGGGCAGTATGATTGAAGTGTATGGTTAAACAAAGGTGATTCAGTTCAGTGAACCCTCGGAAGATTCGGACTAAAAATTAAGGGTTCTGGGCTAAGAAGCTTCCCTAAGAAGCATTCCCCAAACAGGGTGAAGGTAGTTTTAGGCTTAAAGTTTTATCTTATAAAATGTCAGACTAAATTTAGCAGAATATAATTGCATTGCTGGAATCCTTGTAAGATAGTGAATAATTTGAGTATAAACATCACATAGTTTGCACAAGAGATAAAAATTTAGTCCTTTCATTTAGTACATTTAACCCCTACGCCCCAGGCTAGGGTGCTGCTGGCCATTACCCCCATGCGGTGTAAATCGAGAAAAATATACTTTTCCAAAAATAATTTTTAACCTTTTTAAACGATAAAACAATAAAAAAGAAGTAAGAAAAGCTATATATTGACCCTCTAGAAACTTTCCTGGGGCCACAGTGGCAAGAAAATGGCAGTGCTGAGCGAAGGAGATAAGGGGACAGCATTGTTTTGATGGCGAGCGCTTGTGGTCATGTACGCACTTAGCAGGCATTTGCTGCTTGCCTTTGTGTCTGGGATGGCCAGTAATACATATATTTTCTGAACATAATACTTATTTCCTATAAATAATTAATTTAAAATTTATTTTATATGCATTTTTTTTTTTCATAAAAAGTGCTCGGCGACACACGCAGTCTGTCGCCAGGCTGTCTTTGTGTTTGGTAGAGCAAGTAATGCATAGAAATAATTATTGGAATAATTTTACAAATAAATACATTTATAACATAATCATATGAAGCATTATTTTCCAGTAATACTACACTACAATACAACAACAATACTTTTATCGATATTACTTTGATACAACATGATAAATTGTACAAACAATGAAAATTAAATAAACAAAAGTAAGTAATGACATTCCAGAAGCTTCCCTGTGGTCGACCATGTGACGTGACACGCAAATAGTAATGCTGGAACCTGATAGCCCGCACTGGGCATTCAAACAATGCTGCGAAAAGGCAGGCATTCCTGAACGTCAACCGGGGCGCCCTAGATGATCGTTCCGGAACTTCAACTGGGGCGTAGGCGATAAGGACAAGTTTTTCAACTCTTATTTTCAGGTAGATATACGTAACTTTCTTCCTTTATTTTTACTCATTTACATGCACACACCATCCTAAATGCATATTGTGAAAAAGGGAAAGGAAATAATTGTCTTAAGGGTAAACCTGTACTCAAATGTACAGTACTAAATAATTACTAAAAAAATTATGTCTAGTGCAAACTATGGGATGTTTATATTCAAATTAATAGCTAGCGGTATCTTACAAGAATTCCAGCTATGTAAGTTATATTCTGCCAAGTCATTTCAGTGACATTTTGTAAGCGAAAAACTTAAACTCCCTCTATTGGATTAACTACGCACTTAGTAACTTCTTCACTTACTGTCAACACCTCACCTGCCTCCTCGGCCCTCCCCACTCCTCCCAGCCAGGGTGAAGGTAGTTTTAGGCTTAAAGTTTTTGTCTTTAAAATGTCGCAGACTAAATTTAGTAGAATATAACTAGCATTGCTGGAATCCTTGCAAGATAGCAAATAATTTGAGTATAAACATCACATAGTTTGCACAAGAAATAAAAAGAATATATAGTTTTTTAGTGTACAGTAATACCCCGCTTTACGCGGTTCTCGTTTACGCATTTCTACATTTACGCGGTACCCCGCCAGAACAGGAATTCCCACTTTACGCAGTGCATCTACTCATATACGCGGGAAGCGGCGCGGGCAGGGTGCGCACAAGGTCGCCCAGTCATCAAAACATTACCGAGTTCTTCACCCGCCACCCACCACAACCGGCCCAAGTCAGTGATAGTGAGGATATGGACTTCGAGGGGTTTGACAAAGAGGCCCTGCAAGCCTCTGTGGTGGATAGTGATACAATTGATACAAGTGATACAGGTGAGGGCCAAAGATTATAATCTGCCCTCTGCCTCGGAACCAACCCTCCATCCCCGTGTGCCCAGCCATCTTTTCTACTAATGTAAGTGTTAAAAAACCTAATATTATTGATATTTCTCTTAATTATTAATTGTGTGCATACCATCATAAAATTAAGATGTTATTTTTACTACAACGTAGGTATTGTGTCTAAAAAAGTGGAATTTGGGGGTCGGCCCAGTCTCAATTTCAATTAATCCCATATGTTCTGTTGTTCCATTTACACGTTTCCCGTTTTACAGGGGCCTCCGCGGGTTCAATTGACCGCGTAAATCGGGGTATTACTGTAGTACATTTGAGTACAAAGTGCATACAGTAATATGTTGCTCAAAATTATGGCTTTTTCACAGGAAAATGTCTGTATAACGAACTAACCCCAGTGGTCAGGATAATGTGTACTGTATTTTTTGTGTATTTTATTTCATTATTTATTGTTTTTATACATTTAGTACATTTGCCGGAAGATTCAGACGATCGTTTTATTTGGACAGGTGGTCCCCCATTTAGTCCAGATCTTCAAGGGTTCACTGCATAACAAATGTACTTAAATTATCCAACCAGTAACAAACTCATAGCAATGGTTTAAAATGAGACAAATTTAGATTTAGACAAGGGACAGGTAAATACTGGTTGGGTTGGAAAGAGTAGTGGATGAGTAGAACAAGTTACCAAACATCATTATTCACTCGAACGTGCTGGATAGCTTCAAATATAGGTGGAACGGATATATGAACGATAGGGGTTGGGTTGTAAACGGGACTGTCCAGTATGGGCCAATACGCCCGCTGCAGTTTCCTCCATTCTTATGTTCTTATATTGGAACTCCTTATTACCTAGTACATGTACTGCTGCTTCCTGGCACCTTAGAGCAAATGTCTGGGCAAGAACAACCTTGAGTACAGTACAGTACATATTGAGATGAGATGGAAGCTGTGACTTGTAAATTACAGAAAAGAGCTGTTCACAAACATGTGTACTTTCATGGGTAGATCCAGGAATATCAAAAGGGGGGTCCAAAAAGTTGTGGGCGGTGGACCATGGCGAGCACAGCGAGCCTACCCAGCTGGGGTTTAGGGGGAGGGCATGTAAGCTCCCCAATATCATGAGCATTTTGAAGCCATGGGCACTTGATAGCTATTAGGAGATATTCTGAGGTCAATAGTAATTACCAATACTTTTTTCTATACAAAAATGCCCAAGGACAATGTTGCATTAAAGAAAAAATATTTGAATTTTCTGATGAAACAGGGGGGTCTGAAGCCCCAGGGCCCCCTCCTGGATCCTCTCCTGACTACCAAATATGGACATAGTCTTTGAGGCAAAGCACTTCATTCTGGAATAATTTGTTCCCATATATTGATAAAATGTGCCAACATCAACACTGGAAAACTTATCCTTCAAAACCGAGTCACATTGTAGCTCAGTTTTTTCTAGCTGTAGGTGTTCTGATATCTCTGTAGCATTGACAGAGAAAGGATTTTGAAAAATTGAAAAATCTTTCTCAGGGTAGTTTATGCCACCAAATTTTTCTTGAAACTCATTCCTTAACTTGGAAAATCTTAGCTGCAGTACTTTTCTCTGTGGGCATCACAGTGAAACTGAGGTGTGCCTTTCCCAAAGCTGAAGTTTCATCTTAAAGGCATGAATGAAGTCATAAAATTGTGCCACCAATTTTTTGCATCCTTTTATCTTTGTGTTCAGGTAATTGAGGTGTGTTCGGAACGTTCTTCTAGGGCGCCCCGATTGACGTTCCGGAATGTGCACCTTTTCGCGCCATTGTTTGAATGCCCAACGTGGGTTTTCAGGTTCCAGCATGACTATTTGGTGGTTGTGGGTGGGCTCAGTGCGGTTAGTATGCATTAGCCTGTCGCCATGGAGTCGTCCCTCAACCTGGCGGCAACCTGCGTGTGTCGCCAAGCACTTTTTAGGAAAAATAATGCAAATAAAATAAATTCTAAATGAATTATTTATAGGAAATAAGTATTATGATCAGTAAATATATGCATTACTGGGCATCCCAGACACAAAGAAAAGGCAAGCAGAAAATGGCCGCTAAGTGCGTAGTGACCATTAGAACTAGCCGTCAAAACAACACTGTCCCCGTATCTCCCTCGCCACTGTGGCCCCGGGGAAGTTTCTAGAAGGCCAACATATAGTTTTTCTTACTTAATTTTTATTGTTTTATCATGTAAAATGGGTAACAATTATTTTTGGAAAGTTGATTTTTCTCGAATTACCTCGCGTGAGGGGTACGGCCAGCGGCACCCTAGCCTGGGGCGTAGGGGTTAATCTTCCCCATTTCTTAACTTTTATTTTATTTATTTTTATTTATTTTTAATATAGTATTTCTGGTGACCAGAGGATCTCAGAGTCCAAAAAAAGTGAATTCCAATATATTGAAGTCCGATTTATCAAGGTTTTATTAGTTTTTCCACCTTTTGTGTTGCACCCAACATTCCTTATCAATATTTCTTTTCATTATAACATGATCATGAGCCCTTATTAGTCACTGCATAAAAATAAAAACACTTACCACTGCTTTCGATATTTATAACTCCAGCTGCCTCAAACGACTATAACACTGGGCTGCATTTGAAAAAAAAAATTCATGAGGTGCGGGGTTTCTTAGCTGATTCTTTATGTATTTTGCGTGCTGATTCGAAAAATGCCATTCATTTTGCCCAATCAGGTCAGATTTTTATGCTATGGGAATTAGGAAAAAATCGAAATTCTTAAATATGATGTCAAAATTTTTATGCAAAATATATCATAAGAAATGTAACCACAACACATAGGACCAAAATATGTCAACTACATAGATGCCTTTACAGTTAGACATGCATAAATGGCTGTCGCAGAGAATTTCTTTGGTGGTTGGTGTCTGGGGCGTCCCGTTTCAGACACCAACAGTAGTCGGCGAGCATGTTGATATCCCAGCGACCCTGGTACCGCTCCTCCATTACACGGATATCTTGATGGAAGCGTTCTCCTTGTTCCTCACTCACATCACCACAGTTCTCTGGAAAGTAGTCCAAGTGGGAGCTGAGGAAGTGCATCTTGATGGACATGCGTGCACCAAGAACTTTGTAGCTCAGAAGTAGGTCCTCAACAACTCGTTCATACTCTGGACTTCTGTAGTTGCCAAGAAAATTGGAGACAATAGACTTAAAGGCATGCCAGGCTTTCTTCTCATTTACATCCATGCTGCAATCAAACTTGGGATCTTTGAAAAGCTCTCTGATCTGAGGGCCATCAAAAATTCCTGCATTCAGCTTTGCCTCACTGACTTTTGGAAATTTTTCTTTCAGAAAATTGAAAGCCTGGCTTTTTTTGTCCAGTGCCTTTACAAAGTTTTTGAACAGACCGAGCTTGATGTGCAGTGGCGGAAGAAGAATGTTCTGCGGATTCACCAGAGCATGGGCAACAACATTGTGAGAACCTGGAGTAAGTCCACTTCTTGCAGGCCAGTCACGTTGCATGTAGTGCTGCTTGTCTGCTCGACTATCCCACAGACAGAGGAAACATGCCATGTACCACCAGATGAAAAAGAAATTTAATTGTGAAAAAATATATGTAAAAAAACACGGACATATACTCTTTTCCTTTGCGTCACGGCGGACATTTAAATGGCCGGCGAGCACGTGGGTGTATTTAAATGCATCGTAAGGGCATTAAAACTGACCGAAATCTTTTCTGTGAGGCTTGCCAATGTCTCGGATGATTTTTTTAATGAACGAATATGAGGACCCAATTTTGAGCGAAAAATGCCAATATTTTACCTGAATCTCCGCTTAAAATGCTATAGCACAAAATTCTGACCTGATTGAGCAAAATGGATAACATTTTTGAGATCAGCATGCAAAATACACCCAGAAAAGCTTAATAATACACAAACCTCAAAAACTATGCAGGGCAGTGTTATGTGTGGCTGATGGCTGACATGTCTATGACACGTCATTGGCCAATCCACAACTCATACAGTGGCATGCTTAGCAACCTTTACATTTTTGTTGTTGTTGTTGTTGTTGTTGGATAGTAGTACCAAGTTGATTTCAATGCATTTTCTTCATTTGGTAATGTTTTATCACACTGTACAGTACAAGTATTTTGATTTTTTTTAAGTGTGTGTTTATTAGTGATCTTAAAATGACACTCGGCATAGTTTTATTCCATGTATCGTAATGTAAAATATATCAAGTTTTAAGTGTTAGGTTAAGGAGCAGCCAATAGTCTGTGGGCCTGTTACTGTACATGAGTGTGGTGGACCGTGTGTTTGACACCCCAGGCTTAGAGAGCTTTTCCATATACAGGTGCTCTTCTACTTAAGAACGAGTTACGTTCCTGAGGCTTGTTTGTAAGTCAAATTGTTTGTAAGTCCAACTTTACTCTTGTAGATACCAAACATATTGTAAAAAATGTTCTGGCAGGTAACCCCCCCTCAGTGATGATGTTTGTATCTCTGAAAGTTTGTAAGTTGAATGTTCTTCAGTAGAGTAGCACCTGTACAGTACTTAAATGTCACATGTCTTCATTTCATCGCTCTCATTTCAGCTCACTCAAACCCATTTGTCATCCTCTTTAATTGCCCATATTTTGTTGCCATACAACATCACATATCTTCCATTGATCGTCTTTCATGGGAAAAGAAGGTCCTCTTGCTGTCAGTTAAGGCAAGAGGACCTTCTTTTCTAACTTCCTAAATTTCTTCCAGCCACTACTGACTCTTGCAAGTGAGCTAGCTTCAGCACTGATCATGTCACCCGGGTAGCTAGGGCTACATGATTACCTGCATTGTTGTACTCTAACGATAATTGTGCACCTGTACTTGAGGACGTTTTTATAGAAGATTAAGGATTTCTTACCTCATGAGAAGGACCAAAAGTCTTTGAGGAAAATAAGTTGCATTGTATTGTATCAATTCATGAATTATTATTGTGTTATTGAATAAAAAGCCCAGTGCCCTGATTATTTTTATTTACATAATTGAAATAATATTCTTGTTCTTGCATAGCTTTCAAAATTATTATTGGCCAGATTAAACCAAAGATTCAAGGTAACTTGTAGGCCAGATGTTGCTTGTTCTCACATGGACCCTAACGTAGCTATGATAGGATAACAGTTTTTGGAGACTGGGTAGTTCCTTGTCACTTGCGTTACCACTCTTCTCTTTTTTTTTTTTTTTTTTTAAGGAATATTGTGAAATATTGTAGATAACAAAACAGTACAGGTGCCTTACATTGTTATTTACAGGTATAGCTACCTTACTATACATTTTACAGCAGTGCCGGATTTAGACCTGTGGAGGCCCATGGGCAGCCTCTTTGTGGAGGCCCCCCTCATTATAACTACCCAAGAGGGTGGGGTGGCGAGTGAAGCGAGCCTAAACATCTGGGAGTTCTGGGGGGCGCTGTAAGCCCCCCGGGAAAATTTTGAAATTTGAACACTTCTTTGGAGAATTTTGAAGCCATATGCAGTTATATTGAGGAAATTAGAACATTGAGAAATTTTTAATTAACGGTATATTTATTGATAGTGTACAAATTCCCACACACACACACACACACACACACACACACACACAAAAGTGAGACATGACTGGAGTCATTCATGTGGTTTCAAGTCGACCTGCCCTGATATAGCTACTACTGCACATGTCAAAAATTTTCATGAGACTTCACAGAAAAGAATATATTATTAGTTATTAGAGAGAGATGATTCTTTGCATAATTAATCAGATAAACCTCTACTCAAATAATGGTTCTGTCCAAGAATGCATGTACCGTATAGGCTTCTTTAAGTCCAAGGTCAGATAGATTCTGAATAAATATTAACTCAACTATAAATAAAATTGAAGTTTTGCATCCAATAGTAAAACAAATAAACAATTTATTGAATTTGATAAAATTAAAACAAAAGTATGAACATGTTGGAAAAAACAAAAATTTTAATAAAAATAACTGCCATCGATCATGGATAATGGATATATTGAACACAAACATTGATCAATTGCAAAATAGAAAATAAACATTACCTTTATTTACAGACCAGGCACTTTACGTGACCTGGCCGCTGAAAGTTTTTGATCAACTTTTCGAAGTCAATCTCTCTGAGGATGTCATATTCAATACTGTACTCATTAAAGGAAAACCAGGTATTCATGAATTTCAAGGAGTAGCTAGCCTAATTTCTATCACGCTTCGTGCTGAACATAGTTTTATGTGATGGAATAGATAAACATAAATTTTAAAGAATGAAAATATAAATAATCCAAATGAATAAACAAATAAATAAAATATTGTAATATGTGGAGGCCCCTGGGCAGCTGCCCACTTTGCCCACTCCTGAATCCGGCCCTGTTGTACAGTCTCGTTCAAGATTCTTCAAACACTGCTGGAGACAGCTGGCAACTCAAGGCCGTTTGTTTACTATACTGTACGTAGTATATAATATAATACGGAAAAACAAAGCCCTATCATTAAATTAAGCAACTGGAAACTAAGTAACCAATCACCGATCACTTTTACATTTATTCATAATTTTTACTACGTACAATAATAAACAAACGGCCTTGAGTTGCCAGCTGTCTCCAGCAGTGTTCGAAGAATCTTGAACGAGACTGTACATGTGTTCTTGAAAAGTGCTGCATTAAGTGAGCACAAGTTTACCCAAAACCTAATGATATAAATAGGGGTTATGTTCTTAGGGGTGTAGTAGGCAAGTCCAGGATAAAGAAGCTCTGGTAAATTAAATGTACCGCATGCATATACTGGGTAGCTATCATTCTTCCGTAAATGACCCTAAAAAATATTCCACGTGTACAATGCAGTCCGACCCCCTACATTTGCATACAAATTTTATCATAAAAGCTTGAACTGTAATGCAGTATGTATATACAGTAAGTCACATAGTAGCTATAGATTACATTAAGGTATTTTATAATAGGATGTCACATGTCAGTCGACTTTCAATTCAATATAGATGTTGCATTGGTTTAGTTTATATTGGGATGAACTTCATCACATCAGGTTATGTTACAGTTATGTTATGTTGCAAACTTATGATATGTTAGTGGTATAAAATGTCTTAGCGTCATTTTCCTTATTTATAGGTACGATGGCATGTTCCCAGATGAAAATACCCCAGACTTGTTGTTCGATGGTGTGCGGTTTGCTGACCTTCCAATATTACATGCAAGATTTTCCAAAAATAATACTCTACTGACTCTCACAGATGCTCAAGGTAGGGGGATGTAAAGTACAGTAGTTGCTGTTTATACACCTGGACCAGAATTGTGATAATTTCATGGGGGTAAAAGAAGTGTGTGTGTGTCTGTGGTATGAGGTTGAACGTAATATTTAATTAATACTGTACCGTATCTGGTCAAGTTTATTTTGATATTGTACAGTGTTTATGTGTATTTCAGACAATATGTAAGTTATTAGTTCTTAATGTTGTAAAAGACTCTTCCTGTGAGGTTCCTCTTTGAGGTATCTGACTAATTATATCCCTAATATAAATGTTCAGTCCCCTCAAAAAGTATAGTTAGCCGAGGGGTCAATGTACAGCATATCCTTAAAATTCGCAGATTTTCTATTTGCGGACCTCATTTATTCACTGATTACACTGGATGTACCCAAGAGAGAGTACGGTAATTTCTTTTGCCTGTATTGTATATGTGTGTGTGTGTGTGTGTGTGTAGACACACACACACAAAACACATACAAATAATTAATAATGGGAAAATCCTCTCACAGTTAACCAGAAACAAGGCAACAAAATGTATTAAAAATGTTAGGTCTACCCTCAAGTCACCCTCTGCTTTGTTATAACTTTAATAACAAAGCACGGAGTTGACTTGAGGGTAAACTCACACCTTTACCGTAATACATTTTTGTTGTCTTGTTTCTGATTATTTGTGAGAGGATTTTCCCTTTATTATTTATTTTTATGTGTTTTGTGTGTGTGTGTCTACACACACACACACACACACATATACAGGCATCTCCCGAGTTAGGGAACCCCGGGTTGCGGAATTTCGCTCTTACGGAATTTGTAAATTATGACCAATAATTTCGCGATACGGCCCGTAAACCCACCCTTACGGAAATTGGGGTAAATTTTAACACTTAAAAAAAATCACTATATAAAATTAAAATTTTTTGTTAAAAATTAAAATTTGTTTGGTGTGGATTTCTTGGTGTTTGCTACCGCCAAGCGTGGTGTCGCCACGCGGAGTCACTCCATTGTTTACATCCAGTGTGCACGCATGTTTCTCGCCCTAGCAATTTGATTTAACTTTTACAAACATACAGCAAGTACAGTGCAGTTCATTACCCTTATTCAAGATTACTGGAAAGAGGCCATCAAGTGGAAGTGACCGCAGTAGTGCAAAAAGAAGCCGCAAAGGCATTACATTAGATAATAAACTTGATGTTTTAAGAAGGTTTGATGCTAGAGAAAAACTTAGCAGATTGCAAAAACATTAGGTCTTACTTCTTCAACAGTGGGAACAATCCGTGAGTACAGTACAACATTTTTAATTATTCCAACTGTATTTCTCTTCATATTACATGTATATCATAAATTAATTAATATACTGTATTGTATGTGTTTATAAATGTTTATTTTCATTCATAAAAGTGTTTGAATTACTCAGGAACGCATCTCCAGTTTTATAATGGAAGTCAATGAGAAAATAGGTTTCGCGTTACGGAATTTCGCAATACGGTCAATTTTCCAAGGACGCAACCCTTCCGTAATGCGGGGGATGCCTGTATAGTATATACTGCACATACAATACATGTAAAAGAATTAATTGTCCTCAGGGCAAACTCATACAATGTCTCACTTTAAAAAGCTGGTTTTCCGGCATTTTTCGTGGTGTAGGTTAATATAATCTTTTTCTTTTCTATTCTTTTTATTTCTTTTTACTCTTATTTTTTTTTGCCTCATAGGCCCTGTTGTGGGTCGATGACCCTGTGCCTGGGTGGGCTATTCCCCGTAAAAAAGAAAAAAATACGAATATACTGTACATTTCCTTGCACACGATTAACCCTTAGGCCCCGGGTGATGTTCCAGATTGTCCGCCTATTTTCCTGACTTTTTTTTTTTTTAATTTGAAATGTTGATTTTTTTCTCTATTTAACCCCGCGTGGGGGGTACTGCCAGTAGCACCCTAACCCGGGGCTTAAAGGTTGAATTAGATTTAGAAAATAGTCTCTCTGCATCTGTTGGAACTGCAAAGCAAATGTACAAAAGTCCTTCAATTGGGAAACGCCTACACCGTCCTTAAGTTCCTCTAGTTTTGTATAAACGTCCACTATGTCACTGCAGTCCTTAATCCCAGGTGGTATTAGCAATCACATGTAAGTTTCTCCATTGATCATCTGAAATTTTTATACTGCCACTGTACATGTGGGGCACCTCCTTCGCAAAGTAGTATAAGAATGGCATCTCCTTTCTGGATTTAGTATCAAATACTTTGTTTGATGACATAAATGAACACATCTATAAAATTTACTGCCAAGCTCAAATCTTTGACATAATTGCACACAAAGGTTTATCATGAAGGTACGACATCTGAATTGTACATCCTTGACCATATTAGGGAGCTTTCTATACTCTTCACTTGAAGTAGGTCAAGTATTACTGCTCCCAAGTATATTTAGCTTATTGGGAGGTAATTTGCTTCATTTCTAGGATTAACTGAATCAAGATTACCTGTTTGAAGTGCTTCATGATGACAAAAATATCCCCAAAGATTCCTGTAAAGCTGACATATACTTTCATGTAACAAATGAATAGTTGGTAACTCTCTGAAACAGTAGATTTAACTTGTTACATTTAGGCAATATGAAATTAAGAAAATTGTACTGTAGTACAGTACAATAAAAGTGAAGGGTCCCAAAGACTCCGCTATTTGATTCTTTTAAAGTAAAAAACATTTTTAGGGGTTGCCACTGCACTAATACTCTTTCAACTGCTTGATGGAATGATAACTAGCAGGTGTGATTTACATGCAGGATTTTGTGTAGTTTGACAGTACAGAATGATTGAAATTCCATAAATTCATTCTATTGTTTAGCACTATGGGAAAAAAAGGTACAGTAAGTCCTCGTCTAACATTGCCCCCGACAACTTTGTTTCGTTATAACGTCGCTACTCTTTAGAAACCCATGATTCGGACAGTGTCCCGCGAATTCGGTATAACGTCATCACAGACACACCACACACTCGCTCCACCTCTGCCCATCAGTTAGTACAATACAAAATGATTTAGTTTATTTACCTTTTTGGATGTATAATATATTCGATTTTCTATAAAAATTTAATTTAATTTATGTATATGTAATGTATTTCATGGGGCAAAGGGAGGCTGGGGAACATAACTCCTGTTTTTTTTCTATTAAGGGGAAAATTTATTCCTTTGACGTTGTTTCTTTTAACGTCGCGGTTTTCAGAAACGGAACCACGACGTTAAGCGAGGACTTACTGTATATATAAGTCCTATCATGTCTTCACAACGCCGTAGTCACGTCTTTGCAGCCTCTGAAGCGTATAAGTGAATAGAATGATACATGCAGTTCAATATGGTTGTAACAGGAATACTGTAGTGGCACGTAGTCTGCTGCTAACAGAATTGTGTTCTCCCATAATGTTACTAGTGCCATCAGCAGCAAAGCCAATCATGTTCTCATGTGGATTACGGTGTGTTTCTAATGTTTTCATAATTAAATTATACAAATTTTTCCCTGTTGACCGTTTAGATGATTCATCACCATATACAGTCTCTCCTCGACTTACAACGGGGTTCCGTCCCATCGACCAGGTCGTAAGTCGAAAAGACGAAAATAATACATTGAAATTATAAAATGGGTGTCTCTTTTTCTTCTCAGCACCACGAGAACTCTCACTTTTACGCTTGCTAGCCATTTTAAAGGGAATTACAAACAAAAATTTGGTCAGTACACAGCGCGATCACTAATGTCAGGACTCAAAAATACGTAATGTGAAAAATATTTTATACGACCATGGCCGTCGTATGTCCGGGTTGACGTAAGTCGAGGAGAGACTGTACATTGATCAGCTCTAATAACCCAGATTTAATGCTGTGTGTGGTTGAATCCCAAAATCTGACAAGAACAGAGGATGCTTTCATCGTGCTAATGTCTGTTGTTTCGTCAACAATAATGGAAAATTTATTTTCTCTAAGCTTATCTAATAAATCCTCGGTGGCACTCCATCTTAATGTACTCACAACCTCCATGCATTTTGTTCTTTTCATGTTCATGGCTTGAGCAATTACTGAATCAGGAAACATCCTTCTCATGAGGTCTACTAAATGATCTGCAGTGGTAAATGGCAAGTTGTGCTCGGCATTAAAGCAAGCAAAAAGAATTGTTGCTACTGCTACTCCACTTGCTGCATAGTACTCCTGGTGGACCGGAGTCCACTCCTGCTGGACCTCCTGGTGTTGTGAGGCCTCATAAACTGCATGCATCTTTGTTGTCTTGTGACGTTTGATGTGTGTCAACTCCACACTCACTTCCCTCTTGCATATGTTGCAAAAGGCTGTAGATGGATTGTCCTTGACATGGGACAACCAGGACTGGAAATCTTTACTGTTCAGCCATGCATCTCTGAAGCTCCACTTCGCAGCCATCACCACCTCCAATAGGAGATTTGATAAATTTTTGTGTAGTCTCCCCTACAAACCCAAGAATTACTAAATCAGTGAATAATTGCCATGATCTTTCTAAGCTATTTGCGCAGTCCTTTATAAGTGCACAGTAATATATATTTGGCCCTTTGGATTAATAAACGGAACAAATGAACAAGGTGTAAAGGTTTCATTTATCTAATCATTTCTGTTGATACACTGATAAAAGAAAATGGTTAAGGTATGGGTAACTCCTCTATATGTAGTTACCAATGATGAAAGTTGTGATTAATTAAATGACAATACATAAATAAATATATCCTTACCGGCTTGTAGATAGAGTACTGTGTGCCTGTCCAGCTGATGGTAAGAGCTCTAACCATATCCACGGACAAGAACAAACTGGGGTTTCCACAGCAGTCAAGGGTCCCATTTTGATTTTGCAAGTCATTTATTACCCACAATCCATTTATGCTATGCATTATCTGTTGATATCCAGTACAGTCAACCCTCACTTTACGCGGTTAATGTAACCCGCAGGGTCCCGCGGAAAGTGAGGAACGCGTAAAGTGGATAACATAACATATGGGATTAATTGAAATAGAGTCCGGGCCGACCCCCAAACTCCACTTTTTGACGACACACAACTTTGTTGTAGTAAAAATTTTATCTTAACTTTATGATGGTATGAAAAAACAAGTAATATAGAAGAGGTTAGGTTAGGAAAAATAAAGGTTAACATAGGAAAAGTAAAGGTTAGGTTAGGAAAACTAAAAGTTATGTGGAACACTTACGTTAGTAGAAGAGATGGGTCGGCATACAGGGATGGAGGCTGGTTCCGAGGCAGAGGGCAGATTACTGGCCCTCAGGTGAATCACCATTACTAGGTGAATCACCATCACTGTCACTTACAGTTGTCAGGGCTTCCCTGACAAATCCCTCAAAGTCATCTTCACTGTCACTATCACTGGCTTGGGCTGGCTGTGGTGGGTTGCGGGCGAAGAAATCTGTTATGCTTTGCTGACGGCTGGTGTTGATGTTGTCGTGATACACCTTGATGTAGGGCTCTATAGTCTGCAACAGCTGGGTAGTGAAGATTTCATACCTGTTTGCGTCAGGGTCGTCGGAAAGGAGGAGCTTGGCTTTCTCGATACATTCGATGGCACCCCTAGCATTACTATGGGATAAGTGTTGTTCTTTTTGGGATGACGCACCACCTGCCTCTTCACTGACGTCGTCATCATCATCATCTACCATCTCGTCGGTAGTCACATCAGGATCCCTTATCACCTCCAGGATGTTGTCGTTGGTGGTCTCGGAGAAGCCTGGAACTGTAACAGTCTGCGCAGCTTCTCTGGCAAGGTCCACTGCTACTGCAACAGTCTGAACCTCACCAGTCACAGATTGACTCCTCCTCTCACCTGGTATTCCATGCAACACATGTCTCCATGCGTGACGAATTGTAGCAATAGACAGCTGATCCCATGACTCCACCAAGAAGTCCACAGCTTTCTTGATGTTAAATACTCTCCAGAATTGTTTGAACAGTATTTTTTGCTGTGCCAACTGTTGATCCTCATCTTCTTCGCTCTTGCTATCGGTGGTGGTGTCACTCAGGTTGCGCAACTCTTCCCTGGTGTTGGTGTAGTCGTTCAGGAGTTTGAATTTTTTCGTAGAGAATGCAGCTTTTACATTACAGATTAACTCTTGGTCCATGGGCTGTAATATAGACGTAGTGTTGGGAGGAAGGAAGACCACTTTTACGTTGGGGTGACGATCTAACAGTAGGGGCGAGTGTCCTGGTGCGTTGTCCAGCAGCAACAAAATCTTGAATGGCACATTCTGTTGCTCACAGAATTTCTTTACATCGGGAACAAAACAGTCATCAAACCAGGAGAGGGACAGTGTAGAGAACATCCACGCCTTACGTGCGGTCAGCCAGTGGACATTTAGCTTGGTCATGTCCATGGTTTTGTAGGCGTGTGGCTTGCGTGCTGTGTGGATCACCGATAACTTGAGCTTACTGGTACCGGAGGCATTGGTGGTAAACAGGACGGTGATGCGTTCCTTCTGCATCTTCCGGCCCCGAATCTTGCTGGCATTCTTTACAACAAAGCACTTGGAAGGTAGCTTTTTCCAGAAAAGACCAGATTCGTCCATGTTAAACACCTGGTCGTCACTGTACTGTCCTTCCTCCATAATCTCACGTAAAAACGGAGGAAATTCCCTAGCCGCAGCACGGTCAGCACTCGCTTCTTCACCACCAATGTTTATATTGGTGATCTTGTTCCGGATCTTAAACCTCTGTAACCACCCAGAGGAAGCATTAAAGGGTTTGGGCTCTGTAGTTCCCATCTTTCGTGCCACTGCCATGTACAGTTCACGTGCGTAGTCCTTAACAGAGCGCGTGTCGACCGCCATGTTCCGTCGCGCCTGACGCACCAAGTACCTCACAAGTAATTTTTCTGTCTTGAGAAGCACCTGGTTGTGAAAATACTTGATCATAGAAGCACCTGTAGACTTTGTGATCTTCATGTGCTCCTTTATCTTGGCTGCATCCTTCTTTATTGTTCGAATCGTAGATTCATTCACACCATGCTGGCGCGCCAAATCAACCTGCCTTGTTCCTTTCTCCAACTCTTGGATGATGGTATACTTCACCTCGTAGCTTAAGGAACGTCGTGTCTTCTTTGGCTTAGTGCCGCTGGGTCCAGGTAAGGAAAGGTTTCTCTCTGGGGGTGGTGGTCCGGCGGAAGCCATTTTAGAGAACAATGGATGCACGTTTACACGGTCTGGCGTGGAGGGATGAAACTGGCGCGGCTAGGTCAAGGATCATCTTTCCTCCCTCCCTCCCTCCCCCGGGTGGACACGTCATAATATTTTAAGCCAATTACAGCTAGCAGCAGAGGGGGGTAGGGATGCATGGCCAATCACAGTCCGATACGTCATATGACGTCAGTGATAACGCAACAAAGACACACACTGCGCAACCTTACCGTGCGGCTTGCCCAAGTGGAGGGAGGAGGAGGGAGAGGCGAGGAGCACAGGCAGGCAGGCGGGTGGGGCGAATCTAAAAATAGCGTCGCGCCGGACACGCTCCGCGTAATGTGGCTCACGCACCGCGTAATGTGAGCATGTTAGGTTCTGGCAAGGCACCGCGTTAACGTGGAAACGCGGAATGTGGGACCGCGTAAAGTGAGGGTTGACTGTATACTAAAGGAGTTGATAAAAAAAATGCCATATACTGTATATATTACTGAAGAAAAAATGATTAAGTCCTTTACATTTTATATGGATTTCTAGAACAATGAGGAATACATTCCTCATAGCATCTCGGTGACTTAGAATGTGGACGGGCTCTCCTAATGATGTCACCAACTGTCATTTGTTTTCCTCATTAGCAGACGATGTTCCTCAAAATGGCAGCCCTGATTGTAGCAACGGGAAATCTAACAATACTTATTTGGGGGACTGTACATATTAACCCTTAAGCCCCGGGTTAGGGTGCTGCTGGCAGTACCTTCCATGCGGGGTTAAATCGAGAAAAAAAATCAACATTTCCAAAATTAATTAAAAAAAAATGGCGATAAAATAGGCAGATGTTCTGGAACGTCACCCGGGGCGCGCTAGTTGGACATTCTGAAACGTCACCCGGGGCCTAAGGGTTAATGTACAGTATCAAAACAAACAAATGCTTTTTTACACCAATCAACTAACTTGTACAGTAATACGTTTGACATTACTTTATCAATATCATAGAGTGTATTGAGATTTCACATCATGATTTCTTCCTTGCAGGTGTGGTTAAGATGTATCGATCATGTGGATTGGAAGGCTTCAAAAACACAAGAAAAGGCACAAACATCGCAGCACAGGCAACGGCCATAAGTTTAGCTACAGTGAGTTAAATGCTCTGAATGTATCAGTGTATATGGGATGAATTTATGGTTTCTATATTGTGTATAATTGTATGTACATTGTGGATATGAAGAAGTATGTATGTACTGCATATTTTAAATTATTTTGTCACAATGTATAATGTAAAAGGGTACCTGACTTTACATTGGAGGAAGTGAATGTGGTTGAGTGTAGTGCTGGTCACACTACTTTCTTGTATACAAAGCTTACTATCCCTCACTCTTGGCACTTATGACCCACTTTCTTTCGTGATCTGACATTCAAAATAGGTCTTAGTCCTAATAGATCCCAATTCTAGGAGACCCCAGTCCTAATAGACCCCATTTCTAGTATGTGATGTCCCAGTCCTAATAGACCCCAGGTCTAGTATGTACCAGTCCTAATAGACCCCAATTCTAGTATGTTCCAGTCCTAATAAACCCCAGCTGTAGTATGTTCCAGTCCTAATAGACCCCAGGTCTAGTATGTACCAGTCCTAATAGACCCCAATTCTAGTATGTCCCAGTCCTAATAGACCCAAGCTGTAGTATGTTCCAGTCCTAATAGACCCCTGTTCTAGTATGTTCCAGTCCTAATAGACCCCAGCTGTAGTATGTTCCAGTCCTAATAGACCCCAGCTGTAGTATGTTCCAGTCCTAATAGACCCCAATTCTAGTATGTTCCAGTCCTAATAGACCCCAGCTGTAGTATGTTCCAGTCCTAATAGACCCCTGTTCTAGTATGTTCCAGTCCTAATAGACCCCAGCTGTAGTATGTTCCAGTCCTAATAGACCCCAGTTCTAGTATGTTCCAGTCCTAATAGACCCCAGCTGTAGTATGTTCCAGTCCTAATAGACCCCAGTTCTAGTATGTTCCAGTCCTAATAGACCCCTGTTCTAGTATGTTCCAGTCCTAGTAGACCCAATTCTAGTATTTTCCAGTCATAATAGACTCATGTTTTAGGAGGCCTAGTTTTGATAGTACCTATCAAGTACTACTGTATATAGCTCCATACTATGACATACACATTAGTCTCTTATTTCATAGTATTCTTGTGAAATAAACTACAGTAAACCCTTAAACATTGTGGGCGTTAGGTTAATGAAAACCCTGTGAAGACCCAAAACCGCAATGTTCACCTATGGGAAGCTACGGGAAGCCAAAATTGTAAAAAAATATAGAGAAACTTGCTCCATAACTCACTTACTTCCCACATATGCTCGTTATTTTTTTTATTTTGTAGTTATATATTATATTTCCATATTTCTAAGCAACATTAGAGTATTGTAATTATTTTGTCACATCTTTTATAGTTTCATTACAAGTAACAGTATATGAGGCAGTTGGTCTAGTGAGTTGGCCACATAATTTATAGCTAAGGCCCTGGCTAGAACTGCCTCCATAGATTCACGTTCACGTCTCACACATACACACCCATGCTCTTTGTTTTCTTGTTTTATATTATATTTTATTTATTTTTAAGCCACATTAGAGTATTGTAATGATTTTTTTACAACTTTTATAGTTTCATTAGCAAGCAACAGTAAACACGGCAGGTAAGCTGGCTAGTCGGGGATGTAGGTATAGTCTATTTATTTCTATTTATTTTATTTTATTTTTATTTTTATTTATTTATTTTTATTATTACTTTTTTTTGACGGAGAATATCCCACACGGGCACAAGTCATCGACCCACAACAGGGCCTAGGGGGCAAAAAAATAAGAGTAAAAAGAAATTAAAAATAGAAAAGAAAAAGATTATAAATCTACACCACAAAGATGCCTGAAAATCAGCTTTTTAAAGTGAGGTGAGACAGAAAAGGGCAGAGCATTCCACAGTTTGGCTGTGTGAGGAAAGAAGGATGTACTATAACGGGTTATTCTAGTGTGACCGACAGCCACAGAGAAACTGTGGGCTTTGCGGGCAAGACGAGTGTTACGAGCCCACAGCCTTGACGGCGGTACACAGGATGCCAAATCCACCGAACATTGCCTGTTAAAGTATATGTAAAATAGAGAGAGTGAAGCAACATTGCAGCGAAGAGAAAGGGAAGAAAGATTATCAACTAAAGGAGGAGAGTCAATAAGATGAAATGCCTTTAATTCCATCCTATCTAACAGTTGGACGGAAAAAGAGCCACCCCAGATATGAGGGCAGTACTCCAAGTTAGGACGAATGAATCCCTTATATACTTGAAGTAACTGCTCAGGAGTGAAGTAGCTATGGCATCTGTACAGCATTCCTAGCTTTTGGGAGGCAGCTTTAGCAATGTTGTGGATGTGTGGCTTCCATGACAAATGTTCACTTCTCACACATACATTTTTCTAATTTTATTGTTTTATATTTATTTTCTTTATTTCTAACCCACATTGTTTATATAGAGTAGAATAAGTGTTAAAGAATTATGTTTTCTGAGACACACACTGGGAGTCAGCTGGCTGACATGCCAGTCATCTGTGGCCTGTGAAATGGTAATGCAAGATGCCATTGTTACATATAATGAAACAATAAAAGTTGTGGAAAAATCATTTCAATACTCTTATGTGACTTGGAAATAAAGAAAATATGATATGAAACTATAATATAAGAATTATGAAGAGCATGGGTGTGAATTCTTTGCGGGAGGTGATTGTATGTGTGGAAACAGTGAGCAGTTTGTCAATACTTAGTGCATCTGGTGGCTTGGCTGGTTAGCCCTATTTCAGTTTAAATGCTCACCTCACAATCACCTCTGCTGTAATTTTACTTTATCCTCTTTGCCACTGATTGTTAAGTTGATTTCAGTAGAGAATATTTCGTAAAAATAATGAAAGCATAAAAAATAAAAAAATAAAACAGGATGGTAATACATGTTGCCATTGTTACCTATAATGAAACTATATAAGTTGTGGAAAAGTCATTGAAATACTCTAATGTGGCTTAGGAATACTGCATGGGAAATATAATATAAAAATTATGAAGAGCATGGGTGTGTTTTCTGTCTCTAAGATGCAGTGGAACTCACCCGTGCGACCGTAGAGAACCCTCGCGGTCAGTAGTGGAAGTTGTCAGATGCACGAACATAACCTTCCTTGCTCCCCATGCAATTTGCGGAGGGGTGAGGCCCGTGTTGTTTAAAGCCGCGTAGTTTAAGGGTTTACTATATTTTAGGCCCAGTTATAATGCAAACAGCATTAACAAGTTTTGGGTTTATGTACAGAGAGCGCTTGACCGAGGCTTGAAGAATGTCAGGGTGAAGGTGGCTGGCTTAGGGCCTGGACGCATGGTGAGTGTAAATTTATTTTCTTGTTGAGGAAAAACTTTAACCTGGAATGCATGCTAAATACTTTGTAGTTCTTGTTGTCAGTGAATGATTTTTTTATTTGTTGTGTTTAAAAAATATTAGTAAAATTTGTATCAAGCGTAGTAGCAAATAATTACAACAACCTAGGGCAGACATGGAGCCAAAGCCAAACATTCGGCTTCGAAACCAAAGCCAGCCATTTACCACTCGGGATAGCCTGAAATTTATTAAATGAGTCTGTCACTCGCTCTGTTTGGAGCTCAGCCTTTCTGGGAAAGGCTGGGAAATCATATTTAAGCCTCAAAAATAAATAAAATAAATAAAAGCCATATTGGTGAGTACAGTATAAGTAAAAGTGAGAGTTTACTGTTGATTCCTCTTTGTGCTGTACCCACATCATTGCATCAGTCAGTATATAATGCACATGACAGGAAAGACTAAATCATGAAGAAGACGATGGCAGAATCAGAAAAAAAGATATTGTAAAAATTAACAGAGTTACAGAATAAAAAGTAAAAAGTGGTTGTGGTTAGGCGTGGTGGCCGAAATGTTTATACAGTGTACAGTACAATACAGTACGCATTTTTTTCCATGCTAGTGTGGGGGGGGGGGCTCTAAAACCCTTAAAAACAGACCTAGAGAGCTGAAATTTTCATATGTTGTCTTGTAGCTTAGACATAGAGCTTTCCAAAAAGGTATAGCATGCCAAGATCAGATGATGATCAAGGTGTACACAAATAATTAAATGAACAAATGAAATTAAACATTAGTTTACATTCAAGTATTAGCATATACTTTATAATCTTTATTTACTGTATGAAAAGACAGAAGTATTAAACAAATCCAAAAACTATAGTACTGTATAGCATAGGTAGCAAATAGCATCATGCCAAGATCAGATGATGATAAACTTATCAAGGTGTACACTGTACACAATTTCACAAATAATTAATTTGCATTCTCATACAACCTATCGGCCTTATTCATTATTCATGTAAATATGCAATACCAACCACATACACATTATACCAGTGCATTTTTATATAACTTATTGTTGGTCTTAGTCATTATACCAGTAGGGTGTGTCATAGGAGGGAAGATCAGGTAAAACTAATGGCCCATCACTTTTTTGGTAGATTTTAGTGTATATAAACAGAAAATAATTTCAGTTTCAATATTTTGCAACCTTTTGCTAGGTAAATTTTAGCGTGAAATTTATCGAAAATCTAACGTACAGCTGCATTAGTGCATTACAATTAAATAGTGAACATTGCTTTCTGACTTCATTCTTTAACAACCCAACTAACAATATTTTTTTCTGTTTCAGATTCTGATGCATTTATAAGTTGATAATATTTGCGATGGCTGCTTGTGTCAGGACGAGGAACCAAAAATCCAGCCATCTCAGTCACTATCTTGGGTCTGGGAGAGAGCTCCTGAAGTCGGAGTTGCCTACATTGAGAGATGCTTTGAGATACGGTGTTTTAATCAGGCAAATCAGTGAAAAGAACCAAAGAACTTACACAAACAAAGACATTGCCAGTGATATGACCAAAGCTGTCTTGGCACAGTACACTCTGGCTAACGCTCAGTTCAAGCCTCCAGTCATAACAAGTCAGAAGAAGATTAGTGAGACTGCTAGCCAGTTGGGAAAAGGCAAGAGATATCTCTCTTGGGAGAGGAAAACTTGCAGTTAAGGACAGCTTTGCCAAGCAACTGGACCAGTTATTTGACATAATTACTTGCAAGTGCCCAATTGTTCTCTGTCCTGAGTTTGGATGCGATCGTGACTGTAAATCCGAGGCCCACATCTCATGTATTTGCAAGCGTGAACTGAAGATTCCTGTGATTGAACTGGCATTTGTCAAAGCACAGAGAGAGAAGACTGGCAGTATAGGGGCTCTCATGATTTCTAGCCAAGATATTCCGGAGTCCAAGAGACAGGAGGCTGCCAGAGAGAGACAGAAGAGGAGAAGAGTTGCCGAGGAAAAGAGACTTGAGAAGGCCCAGGGTGAGGTAAAAAAGGCCGATGATTGGAGTCAAGCTGATTCAGAGTTTAATGACTTCCCCATGGCTGATCCGAAAGTGCTGACCAGGAGAATGGTGACTTTGTCCCTAACCCAGAAAATAATGATCCCAAACCTTCCAGGCATAAGATTCGAAATAGGAAAGATATCCCGAGCATAGCTCTGGCCAGCATGCGACACCACACTGGTCTCAGAGAAACTGCAGAGATAGCAACAGCTGCCTGGATTGACGGTGGTTTAATAACACCTGATGATGTTCACCTGGAGAGCTCAGGAGAAACTTGTCAGTAACCTAGAAGAGGAGTTTGATAAGGGGATAAGAGAAAATGGAATCAATTGTTTGTTCTTTGATGGGAGAAGGGATGACACTAAAGTGTTCATGAAAGTTGGAGATTCTGACAAGTTGTTCCCTGCCATGGTGAAGGAGGAACACTACTCCTGCTGCAGTGAACCAGGAGGGAAGTATTTGTGGCATTTCACTCCAGAGAAAGATGACATCAGGAAACCAGCTGAGATAGTGGCAGATAACATTGTGAACTGGCTCAGAGATAGGAACGTAGACCAGACCCTGCAGGCCATTGGAGGGGACAGCACCAACACAAACACAGGGTGGCAAGGGGGGGGTCATACAGTGGATAGAGAGGAAGATTGGGAGGAAGCTGGTCTGGATTGTTTGTGACCTCCACACCAACGAGTTGCCACTCAGACATCTGATCCAGGAGCTGGATGGCAAGACTCTTTCAAACAACAGATGGTCTGGTCCTCTTGGCAAGATGCTGGACTCTGCCACTGAGTTAGAAATAAATCCGAGCTTTGAAAAAATCACAGTTGGCCCTCCACTCGTTGAGCTTGCACATACTGTGATTGACGACCTGAGTGCTTACCAGTACTATGGTTACATGATTTGCAGTGCCATCAAAACTGGGGTCATGCTACAATGAGCTTGCTTACCTGCAGATAGGTCAGTCTCACATTCTGGGTGGCTCTGGCTTGGCTCTCAGGTTCATGCCAGAATTTGGGTCGCTCATCATAAACTGAAAGGGAACCAACTACAACTGGAACTGTTGTCCAATTCATCGTGAGTGCCTACTTGCCAAATTGGTTCCAACACCAAGGTCAAGAATCATCGTTTCTCCGAAGGTCCGGTATGTTCTCTTCCAGCTTGAAGGCTCCTGAGGAGTCCAGCCAAGGAGGGTTGTTCAGATTGTGGAGCAGACTGTGAGGAGATCTTCCTGGTATACTCATCCCGAGGCAGTTCTGCAGACAATGCTCTGCAGTAAGGATGAGGAGGAGAGAAGAGTGGCAGTCAAAAAGATCTTTGATATCAGACTTATGAGAGGATCTGGGCATGACGAATCAGTTGGTGACGATTCCTTCAGGGCCAGGAAGACTCCTGAAGTCAATCTAGGTGCCAAGACCCTCACTGATCTCATAGATCTGGATAACATCCAGGCTGACAGTGAGCCCCCTCTTACCTGCAGCCTCACCAATGTTCAAGTCAGAGCTTTCCTGGACAACCCCATGCATGTCCCTGCCTGGCCCTCCCACACCCAGAGTATAGAGCGTTGTGTACAGCAAGTGAGCGAGGCCAGCAGTCACGTGTACAGCCAGGAGAGGAGGGAAGGCTACATCTGAGCTCAGGTGGTCAACAGGGAGGTGATGAGTAGAAACAAGCAAGAAAGACATATTATTCTCTATGGTGTGCAGCAACACCGGGTCGTAGTAGTAAACCCGGTTTTTGTATTTGATGATTTTTGTTTCTAAGGAATATTAAATTTAATAAATGTGTCAAGATCATTACGTTTCACTATTCTGGATCATTTTTCATCTAATAAATTAACCTGATACATTTACTTTACTTTAAATAAGCTATTTAGTGGTGTTAGTAAAAGAATTAGAATACTGAATTTTCATAAGATTTCAAGTTAAAATTTACCTAGCAAAATGAAACTTTTCAAATCTGAAGATATCACATGATTCTGCACATAGAACTATATCATTAATACCATGGGCCGATTTTTCAAATACCAAAAAAAAAAATATTCGCCTACGTATGACACACCCTATTATACCAGTGCATTTTTATATAACTTATTGATGGTCTTAGTCATGTAAATAAACAGAAAACTCTAAACTTTAATGAAAAATAAGTTTTTAGAAAATTTTGTTTGGTGCACACCTTGGATGACATCCTGGTTATTAACTTATGCAGTACTTAGCATAACCAAATATATTGACACAAAAATCCTAATTAAATTAACAAATAAATGAGAAATGAAATTATACATTAGTTTACAATTACATTCTATGATTCTTTCAACATACACTGACAGTCTTCACCCTCCATAACAATAAGCGATAACGTACGCTGCTGTCTCTGACACTGTAAGACTGCTTAGACTGTCTGTAATGTGACAACGTCGTAAGTGAACTGAACTCAGAACTGCGGAATTACACAATGCTGCTCAGCTGCTGCAGCGCGACGTCGACAAATCATCTTGTCACGTTTACACGTACTAACACGCAGTCAGTCAAGTGTTCCTGACTGGCTGTTGGAGACATGCATTGCAGCGTCACACACTTACAACAGACAGGAATAAACATGCATAAATTTTGCTAGCTGACTTAAAGTTAGCGGAACTAAATTTAGCGGAAGCTAATTGGTCGTAATGGTTTCCAAAGTTAAGCAGCTGATCCGCTAACGAGAAAGTTAGCTTCGCTAATTAGCGGTTAGCGGAACCGTGCCCACCACTGCTTACCACTCAGACAAGGTCAGGGTTGGTCGATTTAAATCAACTTGATTTTAATAAATTGGTTTTTTTTTTATAATCACAGATTTAAATCAGTACAGTAGTACCCCGATTTACGCAGTCAATTGAACCCACAGGGTACCGCGGAAAGTGGAAACCGTGTAAAGTGAACAACAGAACATATGGGATTAATTCCAATAGAGACTGGCCCGACCCCCAAACTCCACTTTTTCTGACACAATACAGTACCTATGTT